GGCTTTACCATTCTTGTTTGGTTGGCATGGCATGGACTGCTTTGAGATACCCTTTTTAGCAAACAGCTTTGTTGGTGGGGTTAGTGGGACAATTCACATATTCCCCAACATATATATATATATATACATTATATATATTATTTATATATATATATATTATATTTATATATATATATATGTATTGAATGCCAAAGGCTCAAGCAGGACCCAAGAAAGGCACCAGGTGCTCTCCACAAAAAGAAAGGTCTGCCTTTTGCAGCTCTCGTGGCGGATGTTGTGCTCACAGACGTGGAAGACGACGCAGCCCTGGGTCGAACAGGCGCCCCCTGCGACAAGTGGTTCAAACTGTGAACCACTTTGGAGAAGCAACCATTGTCTCTCCTTGAGAGAACAAGTCATCTTCCAAAATATGGTTTATTGATTCTTCAAACAGGAAACTCGTCATTTTCCACAAGGGAAGCAGCCCTTCCGCTTCCTCCCGGTCCAATCTGAACGCCGAGCATCGTTCGCCGCTTCGAGGGCAAGCTCAGGTACATCGACTGCCCTGTGTGGATGTACGTGCCTAGGCTCAGTGGATGGCCATAAAGTGGTTTGGAGCCCGATTTGCACCTTAGGTCCCCATTTGGCTTGAGAAACTGAGGGCTTACCCCACCAACTGTTCCAAGCCACAGGGGTTACCCCAATGGTAATTTGGAGTGTGGTGGTTTGTACCTTAGGTACCTTCCCCATTTGGCTTGGGCTGACCGCTTTCTGAATTCCAAACTGGGCTGACCGTTTCCTGAATTCCTGCTAACGTTCAACCTTTAGTGGGTTAAATGGAAACCCAACCACTAACCAACTAAAAGCAACTCAACACACCTTGAAAACCGGGACGGCTGGGAACCCAGTGGAACCCAGAAATAAAAGGCGATCATCTTTGGGAGCCATGACAAAAAATGGGAATCCACAACGAGGAAATTAAAAGGTCAAAAGGTCGACGCGCTTTGGTTGCCAGTGAGTAAAACAAAAAATCCACGTGCCGCAGGGATGCCGCTGGGTGTCGCGGTGGCGGAAAAGAAGCCCCAGATGGGTGCAGTAGGAGACATCTCTTGCCAATGGTTGGCCTAGCGGGAAGGCGTTGCGTTGGAAGCAGAACCGCGAATCCACATGTGGACGCTGAAAGTAATCATCATTGTCAGTTTTTGCTCCATGTGGGTCTTTCTCAAAATAGGGGACCCCAACCTGGTGAATGGTTGTTTGGTTTTTCTTTAAACCACCTCCGAAAAGAGTACCCTCAAAAAAAGGCATGCCCATATTGTGTCTACCCTAAAAAGTAAAATAATCTTGGAGTAAACCGTAATGAGTATTTATTCTTTCGTCGGAAACCAAACCCTCATGCCCACGACCCTGTCAAGCGCTGCGGGCGACTCCCTGACCTTCAGAGGAAGGAAACCATTTCCTGGTTTAAGAAAGTAGAAACACATCTGTTCCCTGCAATCCTGTCAAGCACTGTCCCACGTTCTCCACATCCTCCTGGAAAAGTCCCAATTTGCGCAAGAGAGCCATCAGCTATCTGTTCAACTTAATTTGCTACTCCAATCGGTGTTCAAGACTCAAATGAGAACATCCCAAGCGATATGGGTCAAATATTGGAGACCCCCACACCATTTTGAGGCAACTCCCCTATGATATACCGATATACCCTTTCTCCGGCGATAGGGAAGCTCCCAATTTTCTGGAAGAGGAAACACAAATTTTCCGAGAGACTAGAAGTTTGCTTGGCACCTTTGAAACTGGGGGAGGGCCATCCCATAATTTCCCCCCGCAAACTGGTGTTTTGCCCATTGAGCTGGGTCATCGTCATCCCAAAAGGTCAAAGGACTATTTAAGTCGGAATGCGAACCTGGTAGTTCTCGCATTCTTTTTTGGCGAGTATTTTTGCGAGTACCCTCTTTGGGCGTATTTCAATCGACGCCGAACAGGAAATTCTACCCACTTTGGGGGGGTCCCAACCTTTACGACTTGGCTCAAGAACCCGGGCCTGCGGATCGTAGTAGAAATCCTTGAGTTCCCCGAGCTCTGTCACACCTTCCAACTGGACCACCCAAAAAACAGGCGGGAATGTGTCCCATTTGCCTCTGCCCTCAGATGCCCCGCTAAAAGTGAAGAACCTTGTAGTGGGTTACATGGAAACTACGACTAGACACTAAAAGGCTAACAAAAAAGCTAAGGAACCGGATGGCTGGGAGCCATCAAGGTGCGGTTGAGTTTTTGTTTGGCCTAGCCCCGGCTTTTTACTCAGCACAAGGCCTGCCTCATTGCCTCCAAACAGGTTGGCTGGGCTGGTCAGGTTGGTTGGCCGCATCCCAAGCATCACCGGCTTCTCGGGCTGGGGCTGGCTATTGGCTTTGACTTGGTGGCCGTTCAGAGTTGCTCGGGGCTGGTCTGGGGTGAGTGTTGGCCTTGCCGAGGTCTTAACGCTCGGCACAGGGCTGATATCCAAACGCGGTTGGGAGGGTCTAAGGTTGACTTTAGGGTCTAAGGCCACGGCTAAACCAGCCGCACACCTGGCACAAATCAGCACCAAACCAACCAAAACCGACCCAAAGTCAACCTTAGACCCTCCCAACCGCGTTTGGATATGAGCCCTGTGCCGAGCCTAAGTGAACCCCAAACAAGCCCAAGACCCGCCCGCATTAAGACCTCGGCAAGGCCAACACTCACCCCAAACCAGACCCGAGCAACACCGAACGGCCACCAAATTAAAGCCAATAGGCAGCCCTAGTCCAAGTGCTGGGCGTGCGGCCGGTTAAGCCCGATCAACTCTCAACTGCCACCAAATCACGCCCAATACGCAACCCGTAACAGGGGATGCTGGCGATGCGGCCGCCCAGCCAACCAACCAACCAACCAGCCAGCCAATGGCCAACCAACCAACCAACCAACCAACCAACCAGCCAGCCAGCCAACCAACCAACCAACCGACCACCCAGCCAATGGCCAACCAATCAACCAACCAACCAACCAACCAACCAACCAACCAACCAACCAGCCAGCCAGCCAGCCAGCCAGCCAGCCAGCCAACCAACCAACCAACCACCCAGCCCCCTGGCCGGAGTTGAGCCCCGAGCTGGGGCTACAAAGTTAAAAAAAAAAAAAAAAAAAAACGGTTCCTCCATTTGCTCAAAAAGCAAAAACGGAAAACCACAAAACACACGCACAAAGGAGCAAGGGCGTCCTTTCTTTTTGAAGAGGAAAAGCAACAAACAGCTTTTTAAAAGGCGTTTCCACCAAAATCTGTGTCTCTCACGCCCACCTCCCAAGACGTAGATCCGATGCTCGCTCCAGATCGCCTTCATGCTCGTGTCAGACGCGGCTTTCGGCGAGGCTCCCTTCGGCCAAAGCTGGGTCCTGGGTGGAAGACCAAAGCCAAAAGCGGAACGCGTTAGAAAACACATGTGGAGTTCCAGATCAACAAATCTGGTGCCGCCATTTTTGTTTGCACGGGTGCCTGCTTGGTGGGGCATCCGCAAAGTGACTTAGTAACTTAGTGACTCCGTGGGCGACTCTGGGGTCAAGGTTGCTTTTTGGTAGGGGCTCCCTTCCCTGAGAACCATGGTTGCTGTACATGGCCCATGGGGTGTGACCGAATCGCAAGGAGAGGGGGTCCTTTTGAGGGTGCCCTGTTTGGTTGCTCAGTACTTGGGTGTTCGATTCGCCAAGTTAGTAAGGGGTTAGCCACTTGGGATATCACCCCCCTAATAACAAGGTTAACCCCACTTAAGGGTATAACAACAACAACAACAGCGGTTTTGCCGCGCTTAGTACTGTGTATGGACGAAATCCGTTCGCACCCCTTTGAAACTATGGTTGGAACCATAATGATGTTTGGTATTGACAGGATAATCATTGTTCTCGGGTTCAGTAGGTGGTGCAGGATTTTGTCCATCCACAAGTAGGGGAAGCAAAGCCGTTCCCAAAAGAGAACACTGTCTTGTTGCAACACAAAAACATGCACGAGCTAAGGGGACAATATGGGGAGCACTGGGTTCAAAAAAACAACAACCAGGTAACGCAAGCAGTCTGCAAATTTCACGACTGTTGCGGCTCAGGGAAATTCAGCACAGAATCAGGTAGGGATTTTGCCCGCCATCTACAAAACAGGCACATCATACTGGAAAAACAAATCGCCAAGTCTCTGGGTTTTTGTGGGCAAACTTCAAACTTCCGATCGAATTGTCTGGAGCTTTGTCCGAGGCTCGGACTTTTTTTCGAAGCCCGAGGAGTATCAAGATAAATGATCATATTCCCATTGGGGAAGGCGGGAAGCTGTGTTCCCATTCGGTGAGGATATTTCGGCCACAACAGAACTCACTTCCTGGGCGGGCCAAAAAAAGTCCAAACTGTTGGTTTATTACAAACACGGTACATGGCTTTCCCCCCAAAAGTGCAAAGTCCATGAACTCAGGAAGTGAATTTTTGGAGCAAAGCGTCCATGCGCCACTCGCGTAGTACCAAAGGTCATTGAGCCGCGCCTGGCTTCCGTCGCCTGAGGCGTCTGTGAGAGCCCTTCGCATTCTGGCGGTACGTGCGGAAAAAAAAGGAGGTCTGAAGAGGCAAACAGCTAGAAAAAATATGTTTGTGAGATGAGAACACGTCTTTGGGGGAACAGAATAGACAAATCTGTTTCTGAGATGAAAACGCCGGTGCTGAAGGGAATGGGCGGGGGGAGCCCACCCCAGCCACCCAAACTCGCACTTATTTGGCCAACAATTTTCCCGGGTTCGTCTTAGGGATCCGTCCTTTCAGAGGCGTCTGGGGCTAAATAGTAGGTTTCCCAACGAGCTCTTGAAAGACGTCCATGGGCCGAAAGCAATCTGAAAGTAAAACCCATGGGGTGTATTTTTTGGGCCGCCAAATTGGCGATGGTAGACCTCAGGAAACGACGAGCTTATGAAACCCCACAAATGCAATGCATTGCTTGCCTTTCCCAGTCCTTCCAGTTGCCACTACAATAACCAGCGGAATCCATGATGTCAACTTAGAGGTAGCCTTTCTTGGTTACCTACTATAGTTGTAACTGGAAGCACCAGGTTTAGTTGCCCCAAGTGAAATAGTTACACTTCGGAGACATTTTGTGCCCGGATCTTAAATTTGGACCATTTGGACACATTTCTGGTAACATTTCGAGTGCCGATGCAAAACGATGCCACTTTCAGAAGTTTGGCAACTGCGGACCTGCAAAGATGTACATCCCGCCACTTCGCGCGCTCCAAAGCGCAGAGTGTGAGGAACGAGCACTGGGAGGCGAAAACGTGGCCACCTGCTGCCAGTGTTCATCACTGAAGAAGTACAGGTCGTTCCTTGAGTCACACTCAATGCTGGATGCCAAATGTGGGCAAAGACATCTTTCAATTTAGGCTTCCATTTCGGAGAAACCACCACGCAGCTATGTTCTATGTTGCCCCCAGGATATAAACCTCTCATGTATTTCTGATGTCCAAAGGGCTCGTGACTGAAAACTGCCTAGATGAGGCAGAGTCAAAGCCTGGCGACTGAAAGGGATGTTGGATTGAACCGGTCTTGTAACCACAAGCAAAAGCTCGCTCAGTTCTGCCAGAGCGTCAGCTTGCCCTCAGCATTCTCCCCTCCGAAGACGTACATCCTGACACGACGTTGCCACATTCCGGGAAACAAAGCAATACACCAGGCCCATTTCAGACATGCTCAAACCTACCCGAGCTAAACTATTGCACAAAGGGGCTTGGGACCTTTAAAGCGATCAAATGAGAACCCCTCTACATGCGACTACTTGGAATCCATGCCATCCTGGAAGACACATGATGCTTCCGGACAGCAGATGTCGCAATGTTTCAGCAAAGAACCCCACGAATTGAACGTGGCTTCACAAATGGAACCACCGCTTCATTTTTTCAGCAAAGAACCCCAGAAATGTGGTTCCGGTTCTTTAGAAAAGAAAAGGATCCCCGCCCATCTTGTGGGATGTCCTGAGCGTGTCAGGGTCCACAACGGCCGTGTGGGAATGGCGAGCAGGTGGTGTCCAGGCAGGCGACAACTGATGCCACGAGTTGCTCAAGCTGGCGTAGCAAAACCTCAGTGACACAACGGTGGGATGCTTCGTCCTTTCGCACCAACCAATGGGTGATTCGCCCAAAGCAATTGACCATTACCACCCAAAATGACGAATCCCTGCAAACACCAACAAACAATAGTTTTGCATGCTGGTGGATGAAGTCCATTTCGCACCACCTAATGGGTGATTTGCCCAAACCGATCGTGCTTGTCATAGGTCGCCTTCCGTGGAGGGTTGCCAACCAAACTTACAGTGGATGGACGAAATACTGCACCACCTAAGAAAACCTGGAATGATGAATCCCCTGCAAATACCAACAAACATTAGTTTTGCATGGTTTTCAAGTGGTGCAGGATTTTGTCCATTCAAAGTATGGCCCAGTGCTTCCAGGCGCTTGCCACTATAGTAGGTAACCCTTTGGTATGACTACCTCTGAGATTACATCATGGGACAAAATATGCTTGCCCACTATAGTGGTAACTGGAAGCACTGGGTGTGTCTCTTTTCGAGGATGCCCTTTATCTTTTGTTTGGTGCAAAAGGAAAACGACCACTTTCAGGGTCCCCTATTTGGAGACAACCCCATGTGTACAATCAAGGAGACCCCCAGAATGGTGCAAGACCTGACAAAACACCCAGCGATCCAAAAGAATGGGAACCTCCTTTTGGATGGTTGAGGATTTTTCAGTCGAGCAGATAAAGAACACAAAGCGAAAAGGATACTAATAAACAACTCGAGAAAGAATCATGAAAAACATCTCGTGAATTGCAGTGGCTTATGTGAAGCCAAACCTGGTTGATGCATGCTGAACATTTGCTGACCATGGAGTGAGGAGCAAGTCTCCAAGATAGTCGTCGTCTGTAGCGCCTCCAAAGACATACCTCAGTGATACATTGACCCCTTGCCAAGCGTCCTTCCAAAAGCTTTCACTTTCAGTGGGACATGTGATAAACCTCTCTAAAGTCTAAGTAAGAATCTACTCACATCCTGCGTGGATGGGCCAAAAACCGTCCAACCTTTTCCTTTACCTCTCAAATGGTCAGGGGGCAAACATAAGTTTTCATTTCAGTTTAAAAGGGTCATGCTTTGATTCCCTCAAACACAAGCCGCGCCAAGATGCATCAACCCTTCTGTCCAGACTGCGGTATGCCTTTGCCTTGGGCTGGGTGGAGCGTCGGCTGAAACCTGATGCCATGAGTCGCTGGCAGCCTCGTAGTAGTGCAGGTCACTGGTCGCCTGCCTATTCGCATTGTACCCACCAAAGACCTGGATGAGACCAGGGGTTCTCCCATCAAGAAACCAGGATTGGTAAGGGATGAGACCAGGGGGTTTCCCACAAAAATACGGAACCCAGAATATGAGTAAGGCCCCACTGCCTGTTAGATTCGCTCGTTTTTTTCCATCCGGGGCCTCCCTGAATTGAGCACACAAAAACGAGGCTTAACTCCTTTACCTGCTTAGGCACGGCCAGACTTTAGGACAGCTTCGCAAATTGCACAAAGCTCCAACCGCACAAAACAAAAAAAACACTTGAAACAGTGCGAGGAAACTAACAAAAACACAAGGTAACTTCTGCTGAATCTGAGTAGGACGCATAGAGCCTTCCTTCACCACTCCATACAGCTGTATGATGTCCTCACTTGCACGAAAAAGAGGACAAGATGACATAATCGCTTTTGGGACACGCCAAAAGCAAAGCAAGCTGGTCGAAACATACGGGAAAAAGGGCACCTTGCTTCGGGGAGTGGCATTGAAAGGGATACCCTTTCATACCAAAAACAAAATCGAACCACTGGAAGTCTGGGAAAATACTCAATCACCTCAAGACTCAGACCCCCTGCAAAAAGATAGCGTTTTTGTGGTTGACAGGGAAAAGTTGCGCAAGGGCAAACGTTCCACCTCCATTTGCTTAGGTCCCCAGAACAACATAGAACAACCATATTTCCAATAGTGGTAGAGTCTCTTTAAACCAACCGGTGAAAATCCAACGTGTTCATTTCATCAAATGGGAGCCACAGGCTTGACCTGTCTGGCCATCTGACAGGTCTCTGCGCTGAAAGGGGCTGGATAGTTGGAGCTGGCCTGAAGCAGCGCTAAGCAGAAGGACCAAGGGAATCCATGGCATCTCCAGCGCAAGAGGATCTATGGCTTGCATCCACCGCATCCAGCTGGGAAAAATACGATGCTTCCAGATCCAGCTGCAAAACCTACAATTCCAAAAGCTGAATTAAGTCTTGGAGCCCCAAGGACCCTGGTGATGGCGAGCTCGTTATACCGCCGGATCGCTCAGCTCGCTAGAAAATAGGCAGATCCATGGTCCTTGCATTTCATGACACCCAAATGACATGTCGCCATCGACCACCATCAACCAACGTCACAACGTGATGTGCTCAAGTTCGCTGCAAAGATTGCTGGCAACTGGCAGGTCTAAAGATCAGGCAATGGCAAGCATCTTCGGCCGTGTTCAGTCGTACATCGCACGCACTCCCTGGAGCCACACAAATCGTAGGCACGTCCTTACCAAAGCCCTGGACCCCATCTACACGTGTGTGTAAGCCACTTGTTGTTGTTCCTTTTGTTTTTTGGCAAGAAGTTGAAGGCCCAATCTGTTCCTGGATGTGGACTACCTTTCGCTCTAATTGGTAGTTTGGAGCCCAGTGGTTTGGTTGTGACATGGAGGGGCTTCCCAGTTACCCTCTACAAGAAAAAGGGGTTAAATCCAAATCCAAACCACCAACCAGGGCTTACCTGAACTACTTCAGCGTTGTTTGTGGCCCAGATTCAGTGAATCTGAGCAATAACTTCTGAGATTCCAGAGCTGAGCCAGAAATTATGATGGAAGCACACTGCAGCTTCGGAAAGGCTTCTTCTTCATAATTTTCCTTTGCACAAACTTAATAGTTTCATGTTTCGCGTTATACTTTTCAATATTCCAAGTAGTTGTTGTTCAATTAAATGTTAAACTATTATTTGTTCAACACAATTACACCACCGAAGACCCCAAACAGTTTCAACCATCGGTGAAACGTAGCTTGCGGGCCGCTTTCCTGCAAAACGCCCCGTTGAAGCTGATCAGCCAACGTAAGGGAGACAAAGGGAAGACAAGACCAAGCGCGTGAGGCAACATGAGCTCGCGAAACGCACAGAAATCGGAGCGCGCGGAGCGCGCTGAGCGCGCAGGACTGGGGAAAGAGCCGGAGCGCGCAAAGCACGCAGGATAGCGAGAGAACGTAAAGGGGAAGAGGGTGTGGAGAGCAAAGAGCTGAGCGAGCCAGACTATCTCGTGACAGCGTCTAGCCCAGCAAGCGCGTCTGGAAACAAGCAAACTGACCGAGGCAGACCATGTCGCAACAGCATCCAGCCCAGTAGTTGTTGCAACCCACCTTTTCATGATTCAGAAGCCGCTGCCACGTCTGCCACCAAAAGAAAATTAAAAAACATAAAATCTAAAGGCGCCGACACTCTAAATTTTGGAGGACAGCAAAGGTGAGACAAAGGGCTGACCGAGCCAGTCGGGGAAACAAAGAACTGATCGAGCCAGACCATCTTGTGCATCCAGCCCAGCAGAACGTGTGGAGACAAGTGAAAACAACAAATGAGAGGACAAACAGCCGACCATCTCGTGACAGCGTCCAGCCCGGCGAGCGCGTGAGGAAACAAGTGTGGAAACAGGTGCAGCCAAGTGGGGAGACAAAGAGCTGACCGAGTCAGACCATCTCGAGAAAACAAGTGTGGAGACAAATGCAATAAGTTCCCCGAATCTTGATAATGTTTTATATTCCAATTAATATATATATATATATATAGAAATCAATTATAAAATATAAAATTCATCAACTTATTTCCAAAAACGGCAAACATTATATATTATAAAACACAATATGATAACATTTAAACAATATGTATATATAAGAAAACAATCAAACCAATTCTTAAACATTATTTGTATATAGTATAGTATATATTATAAGCAATTTAATCAATAGTATTTTATATCATTAAATTTCTTAATATATATATATATTCAAGTAGCCAAATTACAAATATACTCATTAATTATCATAATTAATTTGGTTTACCAAAAAATAGTACATAATAGCACTTTAAAAAATAAACAATATATAATATAGAATGTTTAATTATTATAAACTTAAGTTATCTCGACCTTATTTTAAACCATTTTTCAAACCTAAAAAACACACTTAAATTAAAATAATTTCGACAATTGAAATATTCGATTCATAAAACAACTCAATACGAACCAATGCAAATTGGTATAAATTAATATCATGATAAGAACAAAATAATATGGCTCGAGACTTGTCGCAACTTAAATTCGATGGAACAATACAAATTAATATTAACTAATGCAGCTCAGGGTGGTTTCGTGCGGCCCAATACATATAATCGTGCCTCAGCGCGAATTAGCACGGCTCGATGCAGATCGGTGAATTAGGGCGGCTAAGCGCGGATATATGAAATTACGCGGAGTAACGCGCAGCAGCACGGCTCCATAGGGTTTAGTGTGGTTGCGCGCACTATTCCATGTTGCTAAGTCTGAATCGAGAACGACGAGACATGTTATATACGCGGCTGCATGGAAAGCTTCCCCCGTCCCCTGTCAAAAATTTACTCCGGACGGGCTTCCTAATCACTCACTCCTTCTCTCTATTTCAGGCGTCTTAACAACGAGGAGAGAGAGAAGCCTAATCCTTCATCATGTCCTGGTGTTTTTCATCTTCTTCCTTGTCCTTCCATCCAATCCCGAATGTAACCAATATGAACAACTTCAGGATAAGAATGAAGGTGACATCTCTTCGTTCGTCAACTCTCTGTGAGCTGTCTATAGTTGAGTTTCAGGGATTAGACAGGATGTGGCGAAGAGATGAGCGGCTTCTTGTCCGCAACTTATATCGCCTCTGCAAAAAAGCTTGTCTTTGTGTGGTTCAATAGACAACTTCCTAAAAAAGTGCAGTAACTTGCTTGCAACGAGTCTTTTCCATGCAAAGCTTCTTGCCTCGCTCTCTTTCCTGCGAACCGAAGCGGTGAGACATGGCAGGGGAAACGGGTCCCTGTCGTGAATTTGGAAAGGGCTGGGCGGGCTGGGGGGGTGGGGGGTTTCGTCGGGTGCCATTCTTTTCTTTCTTTTTTGCTGGGGGGATTCAGGGGATGTGCCTGCTGCGTATGTGTGTGTGTTCGTGCGTGCGAGCGTGCGTGGGTGTGTGTGTGGGTGTGTGTGTGTGTGCGTGTGTGTGCGTGCGCGCAGAATGTGCTTTTCTTATTCGAATGGTGTAGCTTCCAAGCAATAATTCTAGCTTTGCCGGTGAGTTTGCGACCTGAATTGAGGCTTCTCAACATTCTGTCAACCTCAGTGCTAACAACAAAGCACGACAAGCAGAACTGAGTGACAATAGTAACTTACGCAACTTGCCTCACTTCGCACAAACTTGATTCATTTGCGATCCAATGCAAGTACTTGATACCGCAAAGTCTTTTCTGGGAATTGAGGCACCAAGGGCCACCAAAGTTTGCCGTTGCCCCTCAGTCTCGGCACTCCGAGACAAGCTAAGCAGCTAAGTCATGCCGAATTCGAGCCAGGATTGGGGGCTGTTGGCGCGTCATGCGGCTACGAAGAAGGCGAAGGGGCAACAAGGAAAACGGGAATAATCCAACTCTAGCAAATGGCTATGCTCGTTGGCAGATATAAGAGATCCCTAGGTAAGTTTGCCACAGTTCTTAGAAGAAAACCAGACCTGGCAAATGGCTCCTTGTCAATGCTGCCGCTTTTCTTGTCGCGGAAACTGCATTGCTTATCGTGCGGCTTGTGATGGTAACACCCACCCCACGTACATGGTGAATTCTCCCTGGTAGATCAGTCTCCTAGCCTGGTACATGGTAGGGGTACTTTTCCAGTTATCACAATAGTAGGTAACCCTTCGGTACATTGCCTGTACCTGGAGTCTCCATGACCCTTAAAAAATGGGGTCAAGGACCCCATTATTTGGGGGTAATTGACCCAAAGGGTCATGGAGGACATGGATGGTTTCCCCTGGCAAGCCTACCATGGCAAAACGCCTGGAAGCGCTGGGGGCTTCCCGAAAAGAGCTCAACTGAGGTCGGATTTTGCTAAGGTTGGTTTAAAAGAAAACCGTAAAAGGGTAGGAACAAAAAAACAACGAAGCCAGGAAATCGGGGCTCCAAATTTCAATTTTGACACAAATGGTTGGAATCAATGGATGCGCCAGAGCCCTTCCAAAGCAAAGGCTCTTCTCATAAACGGGGGTGAAACGACGGCACTTCGCGCGTATGAGGCGTCCTGATCTGCAATGCGACAGGCGCTTGGAATCGTATGTCCAGCCCATGCAAACGAAGGCACATTCAGTACAAATATGAAGCCGCGTACATATTTGTATATACTTGGGAGTGTGAACAGCGTCTCTTGGGGACTTTTTAGTTGATGCTAAAGGGAAACCAAAAGGAAACCGCCCAGTCAGACCGTCAAGACCCACTCCATGGCAGTTTTAGGAATCAAGTGATGTTTGAGCCCCTTCTGCAAAAGTCTGAATTCTGAGGTGGTCCGCGCAGGGGAAACCAAAAGAAGCGACAACATTTGCCGCTGTGCAACAGGGAAGCCAATTGCAGGGCCTCTGCTTTTGGCCTTTTGGAAAAGCTAACATAAAACCAAAGTCAGATGTCTAGGCATTGGTGACCTTTTAGAAAAATAGATGGCCATGTTAAAAGGAATACAACCCAAAAGCAGTGCCATCTATTTCTATCCAAAGTAACCTTTGAACAAAACACATGTGTCCATGTCTCGCACATTTGCCCGCAGGACCAACAAGGGTTGACGCTTGAGGTGTATGAAGCTTCTTGGATCAACAAAGGCACACAACAAGGTGGCCGAGCTTTGGACAAAAGAAAGATTCGCTTCGCTTGGGGTCTTTGCACGTTCTTTCACACTGTCCCTTGCATTCATTTTTTTAGACGCATCACATTCCTGAGCACACCTACCTGGCCCTTTTCCCCCAGGCAAAAGTAATAGTGTTGATCCTGGCCGATGTTTAAGTGAATCTGAAAATGAGAATCGATTGCATAGATCCCAGGTTCAGATATGGGTCCGTCTTTTTGGAGGGTACAGCTCTTGGGGTGTTTTTTTTAAGGAACACAGAAAGGAACGCCGTTGCGCCATTCTGGGGGGTCCAACCT